AGAGAGATAATAAATGTATCGAATCTATTCAAGTACTCCATAACATTCGTAAGAACTTTATAACTTTCTCTAATTTCGCATTAAGATAGAATCGCTACAACTACAACGGTTTATCGCCACCGAAGACTCGTGCTCATTCGAGCAAATCAAGTGGATTTTTCGTTTCCCCGCCAAGTATTGGTCATCCTTGAAATTCTATTGCCAAACACCGTCGTATAAAATTAATTGTAGCTGTAGGTAGATTTCCGATTTTCATTCCAGCCACAAGCGATGGACGATGTAGGATTGGATTAAAGTTTGAATTGCTACTACGGGCTCGCAATCCGCAGCTGATAATTAATTTCAATTTATAATGATGACAAGGTGCACGAGTGTATATATTACAGGATAATTACATTGAGCGAACGAACTGTAGATCGGCTAATTGAATTAAATTCAGCCAGTGAATGAGAAACGTAGACAGGGAACGCGTGCAAGTAGCGGTAATCACTGGAACGAAATTTATAATAAGAAAATCCTTGTAGCATTTAAAGACAAACTCAACATCTTATTCATATACATATATGTGTATAAATGTAATTTGTTTATTTATTAAACTTATTTACGACATTTTGCTATCAGAGCAAGTGAAATTAAATACGTCCAAACATTAACAAGATCATTGTTTTAATAAAAGCATAATAAGCATTATTTTCGATTAAATTTAGCATTACATATTATTACTTAATTTTATTGTTTTCAGGCATACTTTATAATGAAAAGAGATTTTCAAAATCAAAGAAAATTTTTTCAAACATTGATAAAACTGATTAAAATGTCAATTTAAATTAAAATATAAAATAAAATTATCATAAATTTATTTAGAAATAATTTTTTAATTAATAACTATAATTAATTGAAAAATTATTCAATTTAATTATACACACACATATATATATATATATATATATATATATATATATATGCGTATTAATTTCAGAGCTTCATAGTATTTTCTATAATTTTTTGAAAATATAATAAAAAATAAATTCATTTTCTTATTATAACAAGGAGAGATAGAAATTTATATATTTGTTATAAATTAAAATAATTTTATTGCCCTAACTAAGTGGAAAATTTTTATGAAATTTGCTTTAAAAATTTTACTATTTAATTTTATTTGAAAATTATTGATATTAATAAAACAATTATATATATGTATGTATGGATGAAAGCTTAAATGGTTTAGTAAACCGAGTTTGTTAAACGGGAACGAAAGTATTTGAATTAAAAAAATTATTTTTTTTTAATTACGTAGGTTTTGTAAGCTAATATACTACAGGATCGATATTTAGAATATAAAAGGTCGCGATAATAATGTAGCTGATGCACTATCTCGTGTCCACGCGATTTCTAGTTACGTCGATTGTGAAACTCTACAGCCAACGCGATGCAACGACTACCAGGTAATTGTGAAATCGAAAGCAATAGCGCAGAATGTGTATATTTAATGTGATAAACGGGGCATTATTCTAATTATTAGATTGTAGCCAAAATTATTGGCCTGTCGATTATATTCTGTCATTCGGCAGACATGTTAAGCAGTTTAGAAGTCACAAAGGCACGAATAAATCATGCCGTTTGCCAATATTTGCCCATGATCGATATATACCATGGGGCTTGGACTTGCTAATAGTAAGGATGTCAATATTTCAAGGTTATTAGACGCGTGTCATCGATTTTGGCAAATCGGATTCGAGAAATTGGCGAGCCAATCGAACGCTTAAAATATATCAATATTATTTCAACGATAACCAAGTATTTAATAATTAATTAATTAATACGAAAGTAGCTTAGCGTCGTATCGGCTCTCGTTATATTCAAATGTCATATTTCGGTATTCGCACTAGAAATGATTCATCACAATTACCAATACAATTGCTGCTTTTGCCAATGGAAATATGCCAATTATGAGATCAGTTAGTTAATCTACATCGAAACAGAACAAAGAACTCTGTTCTACTTACTCTACTGCTCGCCAATAAATTATAAAACAATGATGCAAGGCAATGGTAATGGCACTAGTATCTTACAAATCGTCATATTTCTTATATCATGTCATAATATACGTGGATTATGTCTAGGAAATGAAAGCAAACAGCACACGGCAATATGTTAATGAGCCAACCATCGCCTCTATCTAACTATCACATAAGCCTTTTCATAGTGCACGAAGAAATTGCAATAAAATCCAACAGATTAGAGCGAAAATTAAGGGAATAAAAGAGATTGCTTGAACCACCGATCGAGATTTGTAACTGATAAGCAGTCGGCATGGACAGGTACTTTGAATTAAAGGTAGGAGAGAGATCTTCGAACGAAATAATAAAATGCAGCACATAAGAAACTTACAACTTGAGCTATTTGTTGTAGCACACTGTATGAAAATGTCCCAAACGCAATAAATTCTACAGTCTTTCCGAGTCTTGTCATCTCCCTCGAAGCACTCCAACTTAACGATTGATAAAAAGGGTGACAAGGTCGATAAGCAGATACCATTATTGACTGTCGATCTAGGATTTTCTCGCTGTTCGCACGAGCGAGTTACAAACATTATAAACTTTTGAGTTCCGAACTTGCGATAAAGAACCTGAACGTAATGAGTATCGGCGCAAAAGTAAAAGTGAAATCCGAGCTTCGCCATTAAGACACACGTAGGAGAAAATATTTTGATATCTCTAAAGGACCGTTGGCCTTCCTTGGCTATCCGTTGCGACTGGGAGACTGTGGTTCGGGAGATGGGCAAGTTGTATCGTGATCATTGTCTACTATCAACTGACTGCCACATGGGCATGGACATGACATTGGGATTATTCTATTGGCGAATACGAGTTTACGTACACGCGTGGCTCCACTTATTTTTCAAGTACCGCGTGTACTTTCATAGCGACAGATTTGTGAAAAAGGACAGTAAGGAGTCCGTGGACCGAGCGCTGAATTTCCCGTGAAATATAATATTATTGCTTAGGAGTATTAAAAATTCTGGATGCTTATCGTTAACGTTGTAATAAAAATAAGTATTTTACCAATAGTTTTAAAGACCAATAGGAAATACATTTCGTCGTTACTTTGCAATGCAATTAGTGCTTCGTTTGTAACGACTATCGATTTAATCGATCCTAGAAGCATTAACGACAATCTCCTTGGATCGATAATCGCTTGAAAAAATTTTTAAATATATTTATTGCTGATTTTAATCCGTTAGCTAGTTCAACGTTTAAGCTTTATTCGAGAAGAATTAAAGAAACAGAATATCCAAAAGGTTGAGAAATGCTTATAGGGGATGAAATATTTTTTTATGACAATTATTACTTATTAACAAAATTTACTTTGACTTAGGCCTCTTACATGTGAGTGTATATGAGAAAATGTGCAATGCCAAATTTCCAATAAATACGCGATTTACTCCTATGCATTGACATTTTAATGGCTCCTCCTCCTCCTCCTCCTCCTCCTCCTTCTCCTCCCCCATCCCCATCCCTACCGAGTTTTCTTATCAGTATAATAACAAATGTCGAAAATGAAAATGTCGAAGTGTTGATTGTCGAGTGAAATTCCTATTATAGGCAACAATACAATAACGTCTCCGTAGTAGTACAGAAAATTGAGAGAAATCACTTGTCCACTGCTGCGAATCATAAAGAGTATTGAATTTTTTTTACGCACTCAGCGAAGAATCTTAATCCTAATCGTTAATTAATTGTGCTTTTTCTCTCTCGATTATTTACGCAGAGGCTACAAATACTAATAAACTATTCGGTCATATACTATCCGCTTATTATTGCAAAACGATCACATTGTTCATCGAATTGTCATTATGTCTAAATGACTAAGCAGAAAGATCAATGAATGTCTGAGGTACGAGACTCTCGTAACATGATCGACGACAGCATGTAAAAATAAAAAGCATAATGTTTGTTGGGTAATTTTTAACAATCTTCCCGTTCCGATATTACAATCGCGTAGATAAATAAATATATTCGACTACATCGAAATATTTAGTCATCGAATGTTTTCACTTTTTATTTATCTACCAATTTTGTGCATCTCAATGGTATTTGTAAATGTGTTTAATGATTTAATTATTCGACACAATGTAACAACTATCCTTGAAGAGTATTATTTATCAATCGTACGATACTATTTGCCTATATGATTGTTACACTTATTGTTTTAAACGTTAATTTTTATATCGTTAACGAGTTAAATTACAGTTCACTGTTTAACTGTAGTTTTCAAACATTCAATATTCTTTCTAAATAACATCTACCGCGTCATATTCCAGACTGAAAGGTGAAATTATAAAATTTCATTTAACATTAAGCTTTCGCTAATTACGCTACTCACCTAATACACATTGTCATTATTAGTGAGCTTAAAGCGTCGGTGGACACAAAACGAACGTTATCGTTCGTTATCGATTCTTAAAAGTTTGTGAAAGAATTTAATTTTATTTCTGCTCTGTTAAATTTAGCTAATCACGTATTACGTAAAAAGAAAGGCAAATAAAATTTGGAAACCTATAATGCGCGAATTATCTCAACAAAAAAACGAAGTCCCCTTACGACAGTGGCCCAGCCCTTTATTTATTACTCGTACTTTATAATATCATAAATTAATAATTCCTTAATACGAATTTAATTAGCTGCTATATCAACTTTGTATTCGAAGCAATTATTTTCGGATTATTAACGGGGGCAGCTAATCGTTGGTTATTAAATTGCAAAGACATTTTTCACAACTATTGTTCACGAGTATGTACGCAACATTATGTATATATAAAAAGGTAAAAAAGAAGTAGATTATACGGCCAATGACTGTAATAAGGTCATCACAAATTAGTCTCAGGTATATTTATCGTTGTAATACCATTGCGTCGAATATTAATTCTTGAGATTTAAGTACAACAAGTAAGACAGCTGGTGTGTCGCATGACTCGCGAACTCGCGAACACGATGTACCAGCATCTCTTGCTACTTGACGACACTCTAGTGAAACTGCCCTCATCGTCGCTTATATCCTGAGCTCGAATTTCGCGAATTTTTATCAAATGTAGGGATGATGTTACGCAAGATCGTAATCACTTTTATCGTCAAAATTACAAGGTTACTTTTTGTGTGTGTGCGTGCGTGCGTGCGTGCGCGCGCGCGAGTGCGCTCATGGTTATGTGCGATGTGCGTGAGATTAATTGCAAACTACCTTGAGCATATGTCGTACATAAAGTTAAAGTATTTGTATATAAAACTGAATTTCAATGGTAAAAATTGTATAAGTGCCGGACTTTTTTTTTGTTTTTTTTTTTGATTTTTTTTGTTTTTTTTTTTTGTTTTTTTTTGTTTTTTGTTTTTGTTTTTTGTTTTTGTTTTTTTTTGTTATTTTATTACTTATTATAATCGAGCTTCTTGAGTAGAGATTCTCCTATAATTATCCTACTTTGATTTTTAAAAACAATTATGTTTCATTGATCTTAATTCTATATTCGGCTTAAAATTTTGTCTGTCCAATAGCATCACCGGCAAATAAATTATTAACGTTCTCATTGCTTCATTGCTGATATAAGAATTCATGAGTTTTACGGGGATAAACGAGAATATAGATTTCATAATATTATCTAGTAAGAACTAATTGATTGATAGAAATATACCATTACAGTAATAAATAAAATAATTGTTAATGTTCTTAGGCTTTATCTTACGATTAAAGATACATGTTACATTATATAATTATTTTATAATACCCCTATTAAGTATATTATGTTTATTTAAAATTTATTTATAATCACATCCTTCATTATATTTTTAATTACTGAAAATTGAAAGTAAAACTTACCTTTTTAACGAGAAATTTTTTTTTGTTAAACAAAAACCTTATGAACATATTAAAATTAAATATTAAATGAAATTTCATTGAATTATATGATGTTGGAATGAACTTTAATGGCACCACACAAAATGTATTAGATGAAAAAGATGTTAAATTATTAATATCGATAAATTTCAGGCTATAATATACGCTTTGTTTAATTATATTGACGAGCAGCTAAGTTTATCTAAATTCAAATATTTTTTTTTCACTTAACGTTATTCATCGAAATTTATTTAGTTAGACGCATTACATAAGCAAGCTGGTTTGCTGGTTTTTTGAAGAAACCCATAAACATTTTTAAACATCTTTCGAATAATATCGCTATAAAAGCAAATTTTTGTAGCTCATTAATTGTAAATAGTTTTCTATAAATTACATACAAGTTTTAATTACACGATATTTATGTAAATAATATTCAGAAGACGATTGTATTAAATACACCATGTCACTTAATCCTTATAAATTAGAAATATATCTTTACCACTACATTGATTGAAACTTTGATTATTTGCATAAATTCTACATTTGAGTCAAGGACATCTAATCCAGACTTAAATTTTCATTTTCTGATTTTTTCATGGGAATCGAAGCTTTGAATTGTAAGTATTGTGTTTATCATAAGCCAAAAGTATGATGGACAAAAATTTATCCTTTAAATCACTCGATACATTATATAAACACATGTTTTTAATTGACTTTCGATAGTTACTTGAACATTCGGCATTATTCGTAATCTTATAATACAATGTAACATATTTATCTTAACAAAGTCAATTAGCATTTATAATTATTTACATTGATAGCTGTCCTATAACTATAAACAACTTCTTTCGCGTAAATTACATCTTTAACATAACATACTATTTTATTTCTAATACTACATTATCTATTTAATATTCAATAGCAAAACGCTCAAAATGGCATTGCAAATTGTTTCTATATTATTGTTGAAATACATTGAATGAAATGCTGAATGTGTACATTTGGCTTAATTTAAGAAAGAAATTAAGTTGAAAGTTGAGAAAATCTATCGCTACACGCTAAAATATCGAGGAACAATTAATTAATTAATTGATTTGCGTAATGATGATAAAGTGAGCTTTATTACAACGAAGTGAAAATGATTAATTTAATGATAAGCTGAATTACAAACCATTTATTATTCGATTTTGAATGTCATCAGGGTGATTGTTGAATTGTATCGTCGTTGTTCCATTCCCGTTTACATTCATCCTGGGATTAGATATCCTTATCGGACTAATTCGCGCCTCGAATCCCGCCAGCTGTTAATAATTAAAAATCATTAGTATTTGTATCAAATACTTTTTTATCTCTTTATTATATTTTATATTCAATAATGATTCAATTTTTTTTTTTTTTTTTTTAAATGATTCGACATCTTTTAGAAACGTCCAAAGTCAAACAAAGTATTTTCAATTACTAAAAGTTATTAGGAAATAATTTGTAAGAACGTAAAGTGTATACTTATAGAATTTATAATGCAAAGGCAAATATGAACTTTGAAGTAAATTTTAAAATCACACGTCAGAATACTTACCGTTTAATCGAGGAAAACTTGGTCGTATTAAGTTTAAGTATTAAAAGTTACTTTTGCCAGAGTACATTTCATATTTATCGTAGATCCCTATAACATTGCTATTATCACTAGTATTATATGGATTTTCTTTTATAAAGTTAATGTTAGCCATCTAAATTTTATTAACTTAGAATTCATAGCAGTCACTTTCATTAATAAACAACATCGTCTAATGTATCGACTTTTTTTTTTTTATACATTTACTGAACTATATTAAATGTAAACAGAAAATATTGCCCAGTAGGATTGATCAATATGTTATCTAAAAATACCAAAATAATTTATTTTATTTTCTTTACTTATAATCCATACTTTTCTCGATATAGCTTTAACAGCAACATTATTGAAAATATTTTCTTCGTTATTAACTATTTTAATTCACAAAAAAGCTTTAGATGCAATCTTTCAAAGAGACCATTACCGTGCATCATCGGCAAAGAAATAAAAAAAAAAAAATTTTTCACAGTACAAAAAGAAACCAAGTTTGATTATAGAAATGAACAAAAAATCAAAAATATTGGTATTTGAAATTTTATGTAAATTAAAAATCATTTCATTATTATAGATGTTCATCTGTTTAATGTTCTTTTCTTTTTCTTTCTAAATTCCGTTATTTTCAAGAGAAAATTTTTACTATCTAAGATCAAACTTAATTCCAAAATTATTGAATGTATACCAATCAAACTAAGCTACGGACCTATCCTAATTACATATAACATGAACTCTGTTTGACAGCTTGACAATTCGAAAAATCATGAAGCTGTCACACAGAGCGAAGGCATCGGAAATATTATAAGCTGACAAAAGTAATCCTTAAAAGGACAAATTTTCAAATTCTATGAGTAATTTCTATGGGCAATCTGCATAATCATCCGCAGCTGTTAACGAACGCTATTCATTTTTTCGCCATTCTCATAAACAAATATTAATCAACTCAAGAAGTCTCAATTAATGAATATGTAATGAATTAACGTCTTAACCATTTATCTACGCGCGCTAAGACTTTGCTAATGATTTATCGCTTTTAAAATCGAGGCGTTAAATTCTTTAAATTTTTATGCATAATATTACGATGGCATAGTGGTAGCACTACGATATCCTCGGATAAGCTTTAAAAATGAAATAATTGCTCCTGCAAATGTCAATTGACCATAACGATGGAACTAGGCTTTCCCACACAGTTATTTAAGCAATCCAACTTAATAAATACAATAATCGTTATTCTACATTGATTGGCAATACAAAAATCTTCTATGTCTATATTATTGCTTTTATGTTGCACGAAAATGCATTGATCGCGCTGCAAGTAAGATGAAACGTAGAGCGCGATAGTCAGGAGGAAAATTTGAAAAAGAATGTGTGTAAGCCGTAGCGTGCAATTTCTAAAGCCAGAAACATAAGGCAGATAATACCTTAGGCACAATGCAAAAAGCGTAAACAAAATTTTCTTTCACTCAACTGTACGTATCGTTTATATAAACGACTGTTTTCTCGTATTCGCCTGACCGAGACCCCTAGGGATCCTCTAACATCCCCGGCAGCGTTATCGTATCGCTAAGTCGTACGGCAACTGTCACAGTAGCACCATTAGCAATCACACTGACGTATCAAATTGAAAATCGTCTCGTAGCGTCGAAACTCACCCCCACCTCAAGCACTGCCACACAAAAACTTTACCGCGTTTGATGATTACAATGTAGGCGGGAAATGAGAGACCGGGAGTGGGAGGGAGTTGGGGGATGAAGGGTGCGATATTATCACCTTATTATTATTAACAACGCGTCGTCGACGGCGGTCAACGGTGCAATGGTGACGACGTCGACTAAACGCGGCGGCACCAGGACGTACGTGGCGCGCGCTATCCACGGCCGCGGACTCTAGGCCACGTGTACCGTGACCCACGCTGCCTGGCCATCCCGTCGACGTAGACCCGGCAGATGGTGTGCACCGGCGTACGGCTCTTCATATTAATGCCGTATCGATTGGCTCGCGGGGGTGGGGACGAACGCCCGCACGTATACCCTTCGAGAATAGGGGGAGTTGGTAGTTAGCGGAGATAGCTAGCACGGAGGGATTTGACTTTTTTTCGAGACTTGGTTCGCGCAGGTATAGAAGAGAATGCAGTGAAGTAATACGTTTATGGGTGAGGGTAGATCGAGGAACGAGAGCTTGAAGGTTGAAAGAGGCTGGATAAGAGTGACGCGTTGGTCTCACTGACTCGATCTGGACTTGAGATATTGAAAAAGAGAGATGACCGATGATACTCGGCTGTTGCTCGTAAGACGTCAAATTTTTATTTTCATTTTTTTTGTTTTTTTTTTTGTTTTTGTTTTTGTTTTTGTTTTTCTCATCCCAAGGAAAGGAAACAGTCTACGTAATAGGCTACGCGTCCATGATTTTAGAACAATTTTTAGATCGAGGTGTGCGACGTGTGGGTATGTATAAAATATTGTCCAACGACGATTTCAGCTTGTCTACGTCTTCATAGGACTAAGAGAAAAGCTTGACATATCGCATAAGGCATATAATAAAAGTTAGTATAGAT